TATATATATATATATATATTAGACCGGATGGAATGCTGACTGGATTTGTCATCATCAACCCCTCGAGCTTAACTCGCTTCTGCAACTTTTGGTAGGTTTCATGGATAGACATGGTGATCTCACTGGTCTTTCATACAATATTCACGCATCTCTATTGGTGAAATACCTTGGGATTTGTTTATGCAGCATATAATGATATTCACCTAGGGACTTGATCGATCGCACGGTGTTTAAGCTTAAATATGTCCGGTGTTTTGGAATGGACATGTTTGCCAGAAATTTTGTTCAGTTCATTGTTTGAATGCTATGAATCCTTCTATTATGCTTTTGACTTTATTTGATTCTTTCTGCTTCTGCTATGGTTGTCCCTACCCTTTTTCATCAATTACATAACTTCTCATAATTGCATATCTATTTGCAGAAATGTACTCTGACAAGGGCAACTTCTATGACTTCACTTCTCTGGGTGAGTATATTATTTTGTCAAGTATGTTGCAGCGTTTTCTACCCATCCATTTTCAATTTACTCAAGATCAGTACCATGGTAACCTAGATCAAGATAAAATTCACTCTAACTTGCACCATTTGGTGATATCCAGTTTGAACATATCTTACTGGTTTTGAAAATTCACATACGAAGCCTAAACGCCAGTTATGACGGCTTTAGCTGTCAGCAGACTACTTCTCTAGCTTTCAGTTATTACATGAGATAGGAATGCTCACTTATCTCATTCATTTGTTTCAAAAGATTCACATTGAGAACATCAAACACTCTGTTGTCTTTTGCCATAGTTTCAGCATGCTTTTATTCTTGAGTTGGTCTTCTTTCTAATATGTTTTGATTTCTTTGCTTCCGTCCCTGTAGTTCGTGAACTTGATGTTCCAGGCGAATTATATGAAAGGAAAACATATCCATTTGAATTTTCAACTGTAGAGATGCCATATGAGACATACAACGGGGTAAATGTGCGACTTAGGTAAGTTACTTATTGTGTATCATGGTAATGTGATTTATTTGTATACTTTTAACTTTTGGCTTTTGTTTTTCTTAGTACATTTGATAAATTATAATCTTTTTTCTCTATTTCCGGAAACAAGCAAAGAATAGCTTTTAGGGGATTAAGAAGTGGGTTTAATTCAAGATATTTGGGGTTGGAGGGTGGTCCCTAAACCATTGAATCTGTGGCAACTGGGATTCATATTTAATAAGAGTATATTATATTTTTTTCACTGGTCTAATTACTTCTAGGGCTCCTGAGATTTGTTTTTAAGCTATAAGGTGATTTTTCTTTACTTTCCACGTTTCATCTTCTAAATGACATATGGTTCTGTTAAACAGTGGTGAACTTGTGATTAAGAGATTGTTTGAAGAGTTTAACTTTCATACCATATTCCTAACTACTTTAAGCTTTCAGTAATTTATGGCAGTTAATATTGAAAGTTATTTGAAGCTTTGAGCTTTTATCGTACTTTTGGTGTTAATGTGGAAAATTGAAGTCAGTTATCACTATGAACTCATTCCTTTGTGCTCGTTTCAGGTATGTCCTCAAAGTGACAATAAATCGGGGCTATGCAGGTAGCATAATGGAATACCAAGATTTTGTGGTAATTCACCTTTTCTAGTACTCATTGACAGTTAAAACATGTACTTAATCATCATGAGATGCCTTGCGAACTTTTGAGGGCATGTATTTCCATGTTTTCTTCCTGATCTTGAACTTTGTTAACACCGTCAATGATCTTCAAGGCTAGTTTTGTGTAATTATACACCGGTAAAGAGAATTTATATAGTAAACATAAGAGGAATAGGGTGTTTAAAATTGTCTGGTTGGGTAACTAAGGATTGGAGCTTTGTGTTATAACAATGGACATGGCCATTAATGGAGCAGAGAGGAAGATATGGGATCCAAGTAGCGTACCTGCATAAGTATGAGACAAAACTTTGTCTAGTTGAATTAAAGACCATATAATCCAACTGCGAGATAGTTATGACTTGTGAGGAAATTATGCTTTTACTCTTGTTTCCTTATTACCGAATCTTCTTATATCTTTTGTGATATAATGGGAAATTATACTATTAATGAATCTGTTCTACTACTATTATCATATATTCATAAGCCCTTGATTTCCCATTTCATGTAAATTTATACCACCTCAATATAGTATTTGAATTGACTTGAGTAGCATGGTTATTGGTTGCTTCAAATCCCCAATTGCTAATGGTCACTAATTCTTAGCGATGTCTAATCCATGGTTCTCTGCTCTATCAACTTGTCGACTTACAATAATGTGGTCAATTTTATGCTAGGAGAAAAAGTTATATTACAACTGGAACAAATTTTCCCTGTCCATGCTTTTTACTCACTATAATCCTTCTCCTTTAGAACTCTTCACTTTTATTTCCATGCAATGCTATTTTCAGATAGTATGAGTTTTCTGGTTTTAGGAGTTGGTATTAAGTCATACTGATTTGGTTATGTGTTCTTTCATGGATCAGGTTTGGAACTATACCCCTCCTCCACCAATCAACAATAGTATCAAGGTATTATGGTTTTAAAGTAAAGAACTTTATTGGTTGCACTATTAGGCCCCTATTTGTTTATCATTCTCCAAAAACTCTTTTCTAAAATTCATTTTCAACCACACATTCTCACAATAAAATAATTTGCTCATAAACCCAAAATATTTCCCCACTTTTTAACAACACATTCTCCAAAAAAAAATCACTATTTCAAAACTCATTTTCCCCAGAAAATTCTTTTTAATGGTCATCAAACAGGGGCTAGATGGTTATATCACTTTGTGCTTCAAAATTATTAAGGAAGATGTTTTAAGCAAATGCAGAGATTCTAAATTCAACTTCCTGGATACCTGGCACAATTATTCTTTTTGTAACTTAATGTGCTTTATGCAACCATTTAGCCCTTGTTTGATTTTGGATTTGTCAAAATTACTTTTCCTCAAACTCATATTTAACCACACATTCTTTTCAATAAATAATTCTTCACGTGAAACATAATATTTTCTTGCTTTTTAACCACACATTCTCCAAAAAAATCACTTTTCTCAAAACCCCTTCTCAAAAAATCAAAATCAAAATCAAACAAGGGCTTATAAACACTCCATTTATCTCTGATGATTAAACTTGCAGATGGAAGTTGGAATTGAGGACTGTCTTCACATTGAGTTCGAGTACAATAAGAGCAAGTAAGTAGTTCTATCATTATTTTTGTTTTGTATTACTATTTTCCCATGGCCAGTTTGGGATTATTAAGCTTTGAAAATTTGGAATTTGTGGCTAAAATTCGTGTAAAGACCTTATTTGTTAGTTTTAGTTCCATGCCATTTCCTCCCAAGTGAGTTCACCCAGATCTCATATTCGACCTACCAAAAGCCTTTTCTGACTAGGAGCTAGGTTTTAATCACAGTAGGAGTGAGTTTGTCAAGTTTGGTACCTATTTAAAAGGAGTGATAATCCCCATTTGTAATCAAACAGTCCTTGTAGTTTCGAGAGGGTACTTTTCTCTGTATGGGTGTTTGTTATAGGTGGATAATAACATCCTTCTGATTGTACTTTCGAGTATCCAGGTATCATCTAAAAGATGTTATTATCGGCAAAATATATTTTCTTCTTGTAAGAATCAAGCTAAAGAATATGGATCTTGAGATCAGACGTCGAGAATCAACTGGTTCAGGTGCGAACACCCATGTTGAGACAGAGACACTTGCGAAATATGAGCTAATGGATGGTGCTCCAGTTAGAGGTATACTAAGAACCGTCCTTTATTTTGCAACTTGCTTTTGTTCACCACATTACATGCAATATTTGATTCCTCTTTTCACAGGCTACTTTTTCCTGTTTTTCGGTTGGGTCAGGCTTTCTTTATTGACTTGCTGACGCAGGGAGAAAATAACAATTGTTGCCAATTGATTCTCAAGTTTAGTTAAATTTGAATTTCATCACCGTAGTGAGATCGCTATGTGGCTTGTTTGGTTGTAAGGATTGGATCGTGCAGGACACACTAATAAAGAAGAAAAGAAAAAATCTTGTTTGCTATAATGTCAACTCCTGATTAGTTTTGTGTTCTAAATATTCACATGATGAATAAACTGGTTTACTTGATAAGCACTTGTTTCTACAGGAGAATCAATTCCAATTAGACTGTTCGTGAGTCCGTACGAGTTGACACCAACATATCAGAATATCAACAACAAATTTAGTGTGAAATACTATTTGAACCTTGTTCTTGTTGACGAAGAAGACCGCCGATACTTCAAGCAGCAGGAAATCACAATGTTTCGGCTAGCAGACACTTCCTGAGTTTACTCAGAGTTGTTGAAGATTCACTGCCTGCTGATACTATTTATTAATTTCTAAGATTTGTCTTGTAATGCTCAGATCCTGTTTTCGTTAAGTGGCAAGAGTTTTGTCTTATTGGTTAGTCCCATCTTTGATAATTTGCTTGCAATTTGTACAGAGGAGTAATTATGTAAACGGACCATGTTGGTAGAAAGTTGTATTTGGGTAAATTTGACAACATTGGGACAATTTTCAGCTTATTTTAGAGGGAGATTGGTTTGAAGGCATTAACAGTTGGCTTGAACCCAGGTACTTGATGTGCCAGGTCTATTTCTTTATAGATTATTACTGCCCCCTTTCTTGTCTACCTCATTGTACAAAACATGTTTTAGACGGAATAGAGTTTGTTGTTGAAATGATGACTTTTGGTGTTGCCCAGTTTGAAGGGTGGAATGCTAGCGAACCGGGGCTACAGCACTTGTTTATTCTGAGCCCATGAAAATAGGCAGATGCTTTCTTGGATAACTGGACGATATATGACAGAATCTTGATTGTGAATTAGGCACGCACGTGAACATCATAAATCTACTTTTGCCTGCCTTTCGGCAGGGATGGAGGGGGAGGGAAAGAACGACTTTATTTAATTCACGAGGTAGCAAGATCATGTCTTATTACTCTGGTTAGTGGAGCTGGCAAGTGTACATAAGATTTATGCAGTGCAAAAGATGTGTCCATTAACTAGAAAATCTCTGTTATTTCTACTATTAGAGCACAATTGAAATCTGTGAGCTCTCTCTCAAATTTCCCGTTTTCTGAACCCCGATTCTTAATCCATTGTTCTTCCTCTGGTAGAGGACACTCGATTTTTTTATTTCCTCCGTTTGGCCCCAATATTTTCCATCAAATTATAATTCATTTTTCTCTCTCTTGTTATCGACTAACGTAAATTCAAAAAAATTTCTTTCTTTTGTAGCCACACATTTTCAAAAAAATTATTATTCACATTTTCAAAAAAATTATTATTCCTCTGATTGTATGAAATAATGGGGCCAAACATACAAAAAAGACATTCGATTACCTTGTACGATTCACCGGTTACATCAATTACAATTATCCATCTCTTTTACCAATTTACCTAACCAATAGGAAGTAGTAAATGGATAAAGATGGGCACGCTTTAATTCATGGCCACAATCTTGCATTTTTGGAGTTATATTGTAATTTTTTGTGTACGTGCACGGCACTCATTAACAGGCAACAGCGATACAGACAATAATTATTGTAAAAATACCACAACTAAATTAAAGTCACGTATATTTAATTCTCTTGAAATTCGATTACCATACGACACCGGCTTTGCCCTTGATATGTTTGAAATGTTGTTTTCATATGGACGAGGGCTCTTTGGTTACTTGACATTGATTTGTGCTCCGATTGTCTCGTGTTAAAAAAATTTTCTTGTACATTGTTAAACTCATTGCCGCATCTTTATAGATGTCTACAAAATAAAAGAATAATGTTATTCACTAATGTTCGATAATCGATACCAGTCAAGTTGTCAAGTCACAAAATTAAGGTCTACCTTAGACTTGTTTCCATTTTCACACAGATTAAGAAAATTTTGATTTGTGTTTCAGTTTTAAATTTTGAGTTCATTTTCAATTTTCTATTTTTACAGCCAGTTTTAAAATTATTAAAAACATGTTTTATTTATCATTTTGAAAAACTATTTCTCAAAACAAAAAGCAAGAAAACACGTTTGATTTGAAATTTTAAAAAGCTTTTTTTCTATGACTTTTAATTTCATGAAAATTGATTATTCAGTAAAAAATTCAAAATATAGAAAACAAATATAAATATTAATAAAATGGACTAACATTAAGAATATTTTTATCCGTGATAATTTAGACATTTTTTTTAAATTTTTATATAAATAATTATTAAGAGCTTGAATTATTTTTATTTTTAATTTTTTATAATTTTATTTTAAAGATTTTTTATTTTTTAGAAAACTAGATTTTTTTTTTCAATTTTTAGAATTTATTTTTTAGAATTATACGTTTTTAAAATTTTACTATTTGTTAGAATTTTATATATTTTTAACTTTTGAAATTTATTTATATATAGTTTTATTTAAACACTTGTTTTCTATGTTTTGAATGTTTTCAAAATTCACTAAAAACACTCAAAATGTAAAAAATGTTTTTTTGAATTTTATTTTTATGTTATAAATTCATCTTTGTTTTTGAAAATGCATTTTAAAAAATATTAGATCAAACATGTTTTCAGTGTATTGCAAATCTAAAAATGTAAAACAGCAAACCAAATGCACCATAATATTTTCTAATATATCCCTGCACTAAACAATGATCTAAATATGAGTAGTTTAAATTTGTTAACAACAATAATGCACATTAAACATGTGTGTATTAGAAAACTAAGAAACTAATTATATATCCTCAACAAGGAAAGTGACATATACACTCTGTTTGGTGTACATTTTTTAGGCAAGAATGCATTTTTTTAATATGATGAGGAATATGTGGTGGAAAAATAAGAAGAAATTATTAATGTGATGAAAAATATTATTTTATTGAAAAATGTGTTATTGAAAATTAGTAAAATAATGATAATGAAAAAAATAATATGGCTCAAACACGGACTTACTTTGTGACGGATCAAAAAGAAAACAAACGTATATTTATGGGATGGAGAAAGTATTTAATTTATTGGAAAAATCAAGGTGAATTTTCACCGCCTCCTAGACTAATGCTAAACACCACAAGAACTGAATAGCATTACTTCACATAAATTGTAATGAAATGATGAATAGCGGGGAGATGAGGGTGTAATGAAAAAGATGAATGATTTTATTTATTATTTCTTTTTTTGGGTTATTTTTTATTACTTATTTTCAAGTGGCTCTAAAAAATCTATCATGATGGACGAGTTGTGCTAATTATTGAAAGGTTGAGGATGAAATTGCAAATAGAAATGCGCAAAAACCGTAGTTTTTAACTTTTAATTGAATGGTTGAAAATAATGCTAGTAACAAAACTATGTCAGTACCAAGATGCTACAATACTAATAGATTGAGGATCAGTGCCAAAAGTTCTCGATTAATAATAATGTCCCAACTTTCCGAAAGCGCACAATTTTTTTCTTAAGCTGTGAGAAAGCTCACAATTTTCCACACTCTCTCTCCATTTTTCTCCTGCGTTTTGATATTTAGCAGAAATTGTTTACTCGTAAAACTTAATTTATTAATATTGCATTCTGATTAACAGTAGGCAGGAAAATGGAGTTGTTTTACTATGCTGTGTTTGGTGGGTTGGCCGCGGTGGTGGCAGCATTGGAGCTGAGTAAAACAAACAAGGATCGGATTAATACTTCAACTGCTTTCAATTCGTTCAAGAACAATTACGTTGTTGTTTATTCTCTAATGATGGGTACGTATATTTTATTATTCACACTATTATATTCCAGATCTGGTACTTTTGGAATTTTTATGCGTGTTTAATTATTTACGTCGTGTTTTTGTTAGAAATGGTTTGAATCGAGTGAATTTTTGTTAATGGCATTTTGTTTTGAGGTCTCAGGTGTTTGATCTGATCTAGGGAATGTGTGGTTTTCTGCAACTTTAATGCCGTGTTTTGGATCTGATATTCATGAATGTAAGGTTGTATAATGCTGTAGATAAGAGAAGGATCGGATGTTGTCATGATGCTGATCTAGATCTGATTTAAGTTTGCGTTTGTTTCCTGGAGTAATGTAGGGTGCTGATTATTATTTGGATGTGAAATTGTGTTGTGGTTAAAAATGATTGAGAAATATCTCAGTAACTAATCTTGAACCAACCGAATTTGATTATTTTGCTTAATTATGTCTGAAGTAAAATTTCAGACATAAAGTGACTCCGCAGATGATCTGACATGACTACTTTTACAAGCAACTGTAAGAGAGACATTTTTGTTTGGTTTTGTTCTATGCAATGTCATTATATTAGCCGTTCTCTAATCTTGGATGCACGGTTGTTTAATGTTTTGTGCCTGTGTGCGAGTTTATATTTCAGTCAGCGTATGTTAGTTCAGCTTCTTTGAAGTAATTATGCCATTAATCTATGAATTATCTGTTTCTAGTTCAGCTTCTTTGAATTAATTATGCCATTAATCTATGAATTATCTTTTTGTCACTGCTGTTGATTTCTACTATAAAATTTCTGTGGTCTGAGGTGATTCATTCTACAACGTTCTTTCCCTTATCATTTTCCTCTCTGAATCTAAGATCCAAATGGAGTTAGGAGATCATTTAGGAATGTGTTACAGTCTGCTACATGTATATCTCCTGAACAAACTGCAGTTAGCTGCCATGTCACATGTCAATCTCTACTTTCAAGTTGATGGACTTTTACAAGTGATGCTTGTAGAATTATTTTTTCAAGGATAGGTATTTCCTCTTGCTGATGATATATTTTTTTTTTCCCATTTGGCAATAGCGGGTGACTGGTTGCAGGGTCCATATGTTTACTACCTTTACACTACTTATGGCTTTGGGAAGGGGGAAATTGGACAGCTCTTTATCGCAGGATTTGGATCTTCCATGTTGTTTGGTACAATTGTTGGATCTCTAGCAGACAAACAGTAAGATATTATCCCAGAACCGTTTAAACATATTGTTTCTATTTCTCAAAAAATTTGACACGGCCATTTCTTGATGAAATTTCAGGGGACGCAAGAGAGCTTGTGTGACTTATTGCATAACGTATATATTGAGCTGCATAACTAAGCACTCCCCTCAATACAAAGTTCTGATGCTGGGACGTATTTTGGGTGGCATTGCCACATCTCTTTTGTTTTCAGCATTCGAGTCATGGCTTGTGGCAGAACACTTCAAGGTTAGTGCGCACCCCTGCCACCTCTTATAAATTATGGTGACAGGTAATATGGCCACCCATAGCCATACTGAATTGGTTGCAACACTTGAGTCACTTAAATGTGCACCTATGTCCCATTGAGGGAATAGCATTTCATATGAATTATATGACAAGATGATTTGATCTACATTTCATTTTCTATCAAGGGTAGTGCTTTAAGAATATGACTACTATTGAAGCTACCCTGTTTAATAATATGACTACTATTGAAGCTACCCTGTTTTATATTATTGATGATATTTTTATGTTTCATATATCTTTGTAGAGGAATTTTGACCAGCAATGGCTCTCATTAACTTTCTCCAAGGCAGTTTTTTTTGGAAATGGTCTCGTTGCTATTATCTCTGGGTTGTTTGGAAATCTGCTTGTTGATACCTTCAGTCTTGGGCCAGTATCACCCTTCGATGCTGCTGCCTGCTTTCTAGCTGTTGGAATGGCCATAATATTATCATCATGGAGCGAAAACTATGGGGACCCATCAGAGAACAAAGATTTACTCACTCAGTTCAAGGGTGCAGCTGTGGCAATTGCTTCAGGTAGATTTTGAGTTCTGTCTCTATGTTGTATGATGTACTCTCGACTGAGGAAATTTCTACAATCTGAAACTTTCAAGGAGTGTATTGCAAAACTGGAATCATGTCAGTTTCGGAATCCTGACTGCCAATTTATCACCTAGAATAGTAAGATCAAAATAGCATCCCTCGTATTTCATGACATCATCGTAGGCCGTGTACACTATCCACTAAGTCTTGTATGGATACTTTCAAGTGGCAGATCCATCGTCATTTGCTTAATATGTTTACATACAAATAATTGCTTCTTCTTTGTCCCTATTAATTTCCTTGTTCACTTCTTTTTCATCCCAAATAACTTAGTATGATGGTTTGCATTGGTCAGATGAGAAGATTGCATTGCTGGGTGCGATACAGTCTCTGTTTGAAGGTTCAATGTATACATTTGTATTTCTTTGGACACCTGCCCTGAGTCCAAATGATGAAGATATTCCCCATGGTTTTATTTTCGCTACTTTTATGTTGGCTTCAATGTTGGGAAGCTCAATAGCATCTCGTCTATTAGCCCGCAACTCACTTAAAGTGGAGAGCTACATGCAGATTGTATTTGTTATTTCTTCTGCCTCTCTTATGCTTCCAATTGTGACCAGTGTATGTCCAGAGTTCTATTTGTTCGTATTGTTTCTCCTTCTGTTGGGGATAATATCTGACTTCTTATTATTTGTGGCAGTTCTTGGTCGCTCCATCGAAGGTGAAGGGGGGTGGCATCTCATTTTCGGGCTGTCTCCAGCTTCTTGGCTTCTGTACTTTTGAGGCTTGTGTAGGAATTTTCTGGCCATCCATTATGAAGATGAGATCCCAATACGTCCCTGAGGAGGCTAGAAGCACCATCATGAACTTCTTCCGCATCCCCCTAAACATGTTTGTTTGCATTGTTCTATATAATGTATGTTGCTGGATCTTTTTATGTTATATGGCCTTAGGCTATATATTTTATTTCTTGTTTTTCATGATTAGCTGTAAAATACCCTGTTTCTGTTTCTGTTTATTTTCATTATTATTGAAGTTTTCTTTTTATCTACTTGATATGCCTTTGGTTAGGGCACATCTTAATATTGTAAACCAAATCCACTTCTCTTGGTCCAAGCACCTTACACTTATTTGTAATTTTGTACATTTACCGCAGTCCATTGTCGTTACACCCTAAATTCAATGACTGTTATAATTACATTTCTGTACATTGCTAATTGCAAGACATTTAAAGGCCTTTTGATTGGTTGTTTGAAGGTTGATGGATTCCCCATCACTGTCATGTTTGGTATGTGCTCAATCTTCCTTTTTGTGGCGTCCATTCTACAGAGACGTCTCTCAGCAATTGCAGACAAGCCAAGTGAGTATTATGTTGTCTATAGTTGAATGACCTTTAGAGTATGTTTAGTACAATATACTGGACATAGGCATGACAAACAGTACAGTAGGCAAAATTTTAGCTTGTTTTTCTCTCTTTTTGGATACTGTCCGATCTTATCCAATCCACTTTACCAAACATATCATTAAAACTATAATGTGATGAACATTTATTTCACGTCATGTAATGCCAATAAATAGCGATAAACTCTTAATACTCCTCAAACTCTTGTAGCCTGTCTAATTTTAGCATCTTTCTGCATGTTAGCATGTGTATGGATAGATATAAATGATCTAACTTCATTTTCAACCACATATTCCAATGAACCAACCATTTTTTTTATCACACATTCCATTTATAAATCTTTCCAGACACACTATTACTAATTCAGCATTCTCAAGAAAACTGTTTTTTGACTACTATTGTTCTGTTGCCTATTACCTTTGCAGAAACGGAAGATTGGGCCACGATGAAGGATAAGGATGCCGAGGGGGAGCCACTAAATGTTATGTGATGCAAATATCTTCTCATGCCAAAAGAATTTCGAGGTTTGTTAACGACCACATACATTATCTGCAACACGGGTTTATCTATGGAGCACAATTAATTGACTGCTGCAAAAATTCGACGAGTTGTTTACACTGCAAAGAAACATACATACAACGCCGATAGAAGTACTGCTATGGTTTGTGTCTATTGTTTACTCGGGTGAAAACAATATATTAGCACCTTATGGTTCCATAGCCGTGCTATTTTGATATTCAATGTTTTCTTTGTAATTTTGGTATTTTGTTTCACCTAATCTATAGGGTTCGCTAAGTACCTATGAATCCCTAGTTTTGTACTGGACAGTTATCACTGTAATAATGAAATGTCTTGTAATATTCTTTGAACTTTCTTCTGTATGTTTGACTGTTTCTTACTAATATCTTATGTGGAGATTTTCTTGCTGCTTACATTAATTTTTTAAGTTCAATTATTACTATAGTACATCTATTAAATCAATATAAAAGGTTGAGTTTTTCTTTTTGTTGCTGGTCGCAAGACTGTATTTCGATATTATTCTATTTCACGTCTTAGAAATAATCCACCCCATTTTCTATGTTTTCGTTCTACATGTTGGATCATGAATATGTCAACTAGATGATTCTTTCTATGACATTATCTCTGATGATCGAAGGATAACCAAAAAATTGAACTAGATGTGTACTGCTAGTGCAAAAGCGCAAATGAAATATTTTTGCCAGCGATTCATCTTTCTTCTTCTTGTCTATGAATGCTTTTCATCTCTCTTAAACAATTTTCTTGTCACCCTTTTTGCAAGGGTCCTATTTTTGGGATTGTTTTTATCATTAATTAGCTTCCATGTATCCTCATTGGATGCTATGATTTTTTGATGAATTAGGCCTCGAGTACAGGGATTGGTTGATAGAATTCATACAAGGTATTGTCATGGCAGCACTCTATTTGCCTTTTTTTTTTTTTTGGAGAAATGTTGCACGTACAGAAAAAAATTTCACAGAACTACAACAGAATACTCACACATGGGTGGGTCCCGCACATTTTTTTTTCTTTTTAAATACACGGTGGGACCCCCGTTTGTCTCTAATCTGTTGCATTTCTGTGAATTTTTTCTGTACAAATTGATTTCTTTTTTTTTCTTCATCTTCCAATGAATTCCCACAGTGTTATCTGTGTAACTTTCCTCTGAAAAAAATCTGTACTTGTAGTCGGATTCTCTCTTGATTAGGCCATCTTTATATATAATCCATACGAGTGTATAAATGGAATCTAGCATCATTTTGATTGGTTCTCAGCTTCTTCATTAGTCAAATCTAGGGTTGGTTGTGGGAATTATGCTATAGGGCCCGGCTCAATGACCGGGCCCGCCGAGGTGGTGCAATGTCAGGGCGCCACCTCTGCACCCTGACAAATGTTCAGGACCTTTGGCATAATTCTGGTTGTTGGCTTGTCACTGTTATGCCTTTAACAATTAACACAATCGATAAACAATAGTTGAACTGATTCGCATCATTCTGAAATCAGCTCAAGTTACCAATTTTCGTACCCGCTCAATCTTTAAAGTCTACAGTTCATATTAAATGGAATCTAGCATAGTTTTACTTGGTACTCAGTTTCTCAATTAAAGACAAAATGATTAAACAAATATACTTTGATAATTTCTTCTACAGGGATTTTTAAGGTTTTTTTTTGTCCGACCTAACCTAACTGTCAATGATTTTTCACTCACTTGAACAGCCGACCCCCATATATACCCCTTTGTCGTCATCTGGTTTTAATTAATTATTTCAATATTGCACTGTATTTATTTAAGGGATAATTGTAGTAAAGGTCTCAAACCTTTCAAATAATTGCAAATTTTTCCCTGACCTTTCATTTGTTGTAACCGTCGCCCCTAACCTTTCGAAACCTTGCGGCCGAAGTCTCAATGGACGGATTCCATCAAATGTTTGTTAGTTGACTAAGAAATTGAGTTTGATCACATTTTTTTATATTTTTTTTGTAAAGAGTATAATGATAACTTTCAATTTACTACATTAAAATAAGTTAAAATCAAATTAGAGAAACAATAATAACACCCTCGCCCCCCACCCTGCCCTACCTAAAGATCCACAAGTAGTTTGTCCAAGAAGAGAATTTTCATCGTCATCTATTATGGCTAGAAGGAAATCTGAAAGAAGATTTAAATTGATAGCTTGTTTGGTATGGATTCTAATTTTGCTACAGTAAATCAATTCTCATTTTCAACCACACATTCTTCAATAAAATAATATTTTCCATCACATCAATAATTTTTTCTTCTTTTTCAACTATACATTTCCCCATATCACTATTCAAAATCAATTCTTCTCCAAAAAATCTCTACCAAAACAAGCTAGTTTCATTCTTTCTATATGACTATATGACCAGAAATTATCACTTTTAAGCATATCTAGCACAGAACATAGCAATTCAAGGCGCTTTTTTAATAAATCAAACATTCCAAAATTCATATGAATATCAAGATATGGCAACGAGGTCAAAGTTCAGCCTCATCTGCTAATCTGCAAAATATAAATTGAAAAATGCAACAAGATGAAAATTCACTACAGAAAAACTTCAATGCTGGGGGGATTCATATTATTTGGCAAAAACACGCGACTTTACCATCAGAAACACCAATTAAACTCCACATAATCATGTGTAATCAATTTCAGATCCTTGTAGTTGAGATCCTACTTCCAAACAATGACACACTTTCCAAATCTGATAGTCTGATAGAAACATCTGAAACTGATACATATTTCAAAGGAATTGATGTTCCCACTTAAACTAAAAGAAGAGGGAAAGATAATTTAATCCACGTTCCTTCTACTTTAATAACACCCAGGTGGTTGGATGGGTTTTATAGTGGCGATGGATTTGGGCGAGGATAAAGAAGATCTACAGTTGGTTTGTTGCGTGTGACGAATGACGGTGGTGGCCTGTAGCCGATGACGGCAATCGACGCTAATAGGTGGCTGGATGGGTTTTAGAGTGGCGGTGGGTTTGGGGGAAGATAAAGAAGATCTACAGTTTTTTTTTTTTTTGGTTTTAACTTATTTAATGTAGTAAATTGAAAGTTACCATTATGCCCTTTACAAAAAATATAAAAAATGTGGTCAAACTAAATTTCTTGATCATCTAACATACATTTGGATGGAATCCGTACATTAGAGCTTCAGCCGCAACATTTCAAAAGCTTAGGGGCGACGGTTGCAACGAATGAAAGGTCAGGAAAAAGTTTACAACTGTTTGAAAGGTTTGGGCCTCTGCTGCAATTATCTCTTTATTTAATTAATAATATATGATTTAATTGCTTTTGCTCAACTAATCATTTTTTTTCTTTGCTAAAAGACATACTTGAGAATCTGTAGTTGTTGTTTTCTCACCGCCCAAATCCTACAACTTTATTAACAATTTATAAATATTCATTACATTGAATTGTACAAGATGTTGATTTATTTAAAAATATCGATATTGAAATCCAACTGCTCATTTGAGCTTTGGACATAAGAATTGTTCGTTTGAACTTTTAAACGCTTGTACCATATGGAGTCATAGAATTTCATTTTAAAAGATCAACCACTGTAAAAAAAAGTATAGTCTAACTCCTTACGTCAATTATTTTTTTAATATTTAACTGATGTAAAAAAAAAAAACCTCATTTGAATAAATAAATTAGAAATGCATGATACTCAACTCTAGCCTTTAAATTGAGCCTTTACTCAATGTAGCAAGAAAAAGAAAAAAAAGTATGAAATAAAATATGAAAGTTGAAATCTTGTAATTTTCGATAGGGTTGAGATTCTGTTATCTTTTGAGATTCTGTGCCTAGATTTGCCCTAATTTGTTATAATTGTTGACCATATTCCATATATATTATACAGAGTCACGGACACATGGCAAGTGAGGTTTTAATTAAAGCATATTGTATTGGTTACCACTGAATTCACAAGCAATAATCTCATCCACTAGGCCCTCGGGCATAGCTCAGTGATGTAAAAAATAGAAGTAAAGTAGTTTCAGATGAACGACAGGCACAGTATGAGGGTTTGATTTCTGCCCCTTATAAGGTGTGAAATTTAACTTTTTGTAGACACCAATATGACAGTTCTTGTACCCTGACCTGCTAATGTATATCCCGCGATTTACCTCCTCCATAATGTTCGGGGGGACCCTCAAGGTTGGAGCTCTACCTTTAATAATCTCATCCACCAGACTCATGCCTTTTGGTTCCTTCTCTTTCGATCGATCTGACAATGAATCAAACATGCCTCAATATTGTAGTGAGAGCGTCTTTAGAGTACACAGAATCAGTACGTAACATCTTCAAATATGTCGAAGACGAAAGAAACTAGATTTCACAATATGAGCTCCTGTTTGAGCCACATTAAAATTTTCATTCCCATTTTTCTATTCATTTTCAACCACTCCCATTCGAACCACATTAAAATTCTCATTTTCATTATTCTACTCATTTTCAACAATACATTTTTCAATAAAATAATATTTTTCATCACATCAATAACTTTTCCTTCTTTTTCAACCATACATTCTCCATCAATCTATTATTCCAAAATATATTTTTCTAAAATAATGTGGCTCAACCACACCCTGAATTCTTTTTCCACATTGTTGGATTCCGTTACCTTTAGTAAAAGTTACGATAAAATCATTTTTGTTGACCCCACATAAAAATAGAATATAAATATCTTTTTTTCGATTAGGCCGCGGATTATTTTAATAAACCTAAAATGTAATGTAGCCCCTATTTGGTGGAGATTAAAATTCAAATTTTTAATAGATTTTGATAAAAAGTAGATGAAATGTGTGGTTGAAAAGTTATTGATTCTATGAAATAATTGGTTAAAATTCATTATTGACTTTAAATTAAATTAAAATTTTAATTTTTACCAAACATGGCTTAACAATGTTTTACATTGCAGTCTAGTCATTGCCAAACAAAATCCATTATGCCTAGACTTTGAAAAGTATATGCAGGCCGTTCTGGATTCCTAAATTCTTATAATGATAATGTTGTTCCATATGCTAATTAATAATGCTGTCCTTTCTTATCTTCTGTCCTTGTTTGCTGGAATTAATCATAGTTTCATAATCGAAAAACCAAACCCTACTTCTTATATAATGAGGGGTAAATCCATTGAAATATTTGAAGTCTTTTCCAAAGTTTTACTCGACGTTAAAGTTAAAAATATCCGCCATGTTTGGTAGCTTTCCGATAGCTCCATATCTAACAAGAACTAAATTCCTCGCCCATAGAGTAACCCTTTTCTTTCTTCACGACTCATCATGACCAAAATCAAGATGTTCGGTAGCTTTTTTATGTCCTCCATCTTCGACTTCAATAATAAACCTCGCCCACAAAGTAAACCCTTTTTCACTTTTATGGGATCATTGTTCAATAATTTTCCGATGACCCTTGATTCTTGAACCTAAAATCTCGCTTGTAAATAGTAAACATTTTCAACTTCCATTAGATAATGGTGGGTGATAAATTGCTCCGTATTCCAAACTTGAACGAGAACCCTCATACGTAAGATAAACACTTTCACAAGACATGAAAGCCAAAAATCCCTATACTTGGCAGCTTTTCAACGTTGGAACTTGAATTAGAGATCTTGTCCTTAAAGTAAATTATCCCCCGGCCGATTACATGATTGTGAGAAGTAGACATGGTGTGATATTGATAGCGGTTCAGTCCCTTGTGTTGTATTGTGCTTACAGTGTGGAAATGAGCCGAATCAATATCACTCTTGTATACTTCTTTGCAGCACAATCCTATTTCTTCTGCATCAAATTGTGAGCCACAGGTTATGCAATACTTTTTACCCCTTTTTTCACTATTTTTGTCCAAGAGTTTTTTCTGTTCAATGGCAAAGGAAATTGCAGGAAAATACATAGATTCAGGCCATTTCAAAAGGTATTTGCCAAATCTCTCATACCAAAAAGAGCAAGTCAGAAGAACATATATCAGGACTCAGGTGGGTACCTTAACAATCAATAGAAATGCACCAAATTTTCTGTCGTTAATGGATTTTGGCATCACGACGCTGTTGGTTATTATCCATGATGGAAAACTTCCCGTAATTGGCAGCAGATTTTTTAGCATCAGTTCCGTCGAGAAGCTGCACTTTTTTTGTAGTGAAATACACAAATACTTTTCTCTACATCAGAGTTCTTCACGAGAATTCTAATTTCTGTTGTATGAAATAGTCTACTGCGAGCATCACTAAACGTGGGAGGAGCCTAGGTTGACCTCCGAATGATTAGCGCTTGTAGGGCTGGGCCCATAACCCGAAAACCGTGGATCCGACCAGACCTGACCGGTTCGGATCGGTTTTTATTTAAAAATGGGTTGGGTCCGGTCGGATCGGATCGACGGTTTAAAAATTTTCAAACCGACCCAACCCATTATCCCTAACCCTATTTCTAAATCGCCTCCACAACCCTCTTTGGAAATCGCCTCCACAGCTCCACGAAATCGACTCCACTGAGTCCACAGCCCTCCACGACCTCTCCCTCTCCCTCCGCCCCCAAGGTATAGAAATATAAAAAACTTACGTTTATGCACGCGTATTATATTACTTTGTTTTATTAAATATTTATGTTTGAAACTTTTTTGGTTCAGTTAAGAAAATGCTGGTACCTTTTGTTAATTTAACCTTTTTTTTTATGTAGAGCTTTTGGAATCAGAGAAATCAAATAAAGGCTTAATCCAAGTGATTCATGCATTTATGAATTTTTATTAATTTTTTCTCTAAACGTTAATATTATTTTGTAGGAATGCTACTTAAAGCTATGCGAGATTCGAATATTATAATATTCTACTTTATTGTTTAATTTTTTCGAAATTTGAATTTTGGATTAGTAGTATTTTTTTTATTTATTAAATTTGGATTATTGTATATTTTTAAGTATTGGTTGATTGTAATATTTTAGTATTTACTTTTCGTAATTAATGATAATTTTTAGTGATTGATTTTATTAGTATGAGAAAACAATTATTTGGGAATTGGGATGCATGCTTTAATTTTTGTTTGTGAATAAATTCAAAATAGACTTATTCTTAGTAAAAAATTGTGATTTTCAATTGTAGTTGATTGTGTTGTATGAATGATAAATATTATTTCATTGAAAATTTCTTATTGAAATGGAAAAAGTATTATTTATATTTAAATTAATTAATGAATTGGGAAGTCTAAAAAAAAAACTTAATAAATTTAGTGTTGCAAACCGAACCGAATAGGAACCGGGTCGGTTCGGGTCTTGAAAGGCCCAAAATCGAGTTTGTTGGGTCGGGTCGGGTCGATTTTGAGCCAAATCTGACCCGACCCAATGCCCACCCCTAAGCGCTTGAGATGAATCGTCGCGTATACCTTAATTTGTTTGTCAGACATACTTAGGTCCGAACAACTAGACACATAAAAGGTTTATTCCTCTAGTACATGGGAAAACTATACATGGAGCTTGCCGCTAGCACTTGTATGGTTGCATTTTTTTTGTTTTTTTTTTTCCGACTTCCAATAAGAAAATGACACGCCCCTTGTAAAAATCATGTACAACTTTACCCTGTACACCAGGCACGTCTCTAAAAGGTATGTCCTAACTTGTTTAGGTTGTGGCACTACGAGTCCCTACTTGGCTTTCATTTATTAATTTTTTTTTTCAAATTTATTTTTAATTACACATTTTATAGGATGCATTACTTTTATCAATTTTTCAGTCATTCATTTCTGATTTCATAAACTTTTATCAACATTTACTAATGTCTCATTTTTATCCAAATCAAGCCTCTGTTTGGTAGGCATTTTTGTGGAGAAAATGCATTTTTTTTTTGTTGATGTGATCAGAAATATGTAATTGAAAAAGAAGGAAAAAATTATTGATGCGATAGAAAATATTATTTTATTAAAGAATGTGTATTTGAAAATGAGTAAAAGAATGAGAATAAAAAATATAATGTGGCTCAAACAGAGGCCAAATAGGGGATAAGCACCTCAATTGACCGAGAGTAAAATGTTATAAAGAATGGAAGATAAAAATATTTTTTTGAAGAAAAAATAAAAAATTGGGAAAAATGTGTTAAACCTTTAAAAAGGAAGGACAAGGGCGGCATGGAGTGGATCAGTTCAAAATTGAGAATCGAACTAAAAAATCTTCTAATTCTCGATATTAAAAATCAGAATTAGTTTTGTTTAATTAATTCGGTCAGACTCTAGTCCGGTTCGGATGGTTCGAGTAAAATTGTCAAAGCCACTTAACGGTAGCAACTTCAGTTCTTCATATCCCTTTGTCCCTCTTTCTTTCTCGATCGTGCACACGCACAATGTACCTGAAGAAGGTGTTCTGGAGCGACGGTTTGAACTCAGAATCGGAGTCCGAATCACACTCACCTGTCTGAGACCTGTTTGAATCGCTCGACAAGCAAAGACTTTACAGGGAGGTAACCCTCGCGCTCCGAGTTCTCATTCCTCCGAGTCACCGGTTTGGACAACATTCTCAAATTTCTCCTATCCGTCGCCGAGTCCGATTCCACCATCAGCGTCTTCTGGCACTCCCAATCCATTCCCCAACTTCAAGGTCTCGTACAACACTCTCCATTTTCCTTTATTTATTTAGTTCGAATTTGATCTCGCAAATGGAATATAAAACGTTCAATTTATATTTGAATCTCTTTTTTCTGTGAAATATCTTTTCGTGCTTGCGCCTTAGAGAATTCGATTAGACATTTTTAATACTTGTCAAAAGAATAGGATGATTACTATTAAGATTTGGGGGTCCATCTTAAAAGGTCAACCTTATTAAGAGGAGTAGCCCAAGATCTTTATTAATTGGTCTGTGTCAACATCATTTATCGATGTGGGATATATATCCCTTAACACGCCCCCGCAAGAT